AATCTTCTGTCCAATTTATTTGACATTTGGTTAAGGAATATTAGTAATAAATTGGGAAAGAGATCGTTCGATAATCGCTAAACCAGGATCGGACTCTTCCTTTAACTCTGAAATTCGTGATCTATCATTTGACTTGCTCTGCTACAAAGTTTTGAAACCTGACTACTGAACAAATGAACCAACACGAGTCTACCAATTAACAATCAGACACGTGTTACATCCGGTCAGAGTATGGTGGACAAGTTTACAGATTAAGTGAGAGAAACATAAAGCGAATAAAAAAGTAACAATAAGCCCTCTGAAAGGCATTTCTGAAAGAACTGATCATAGGACGACACAGCTTCAGCCAAGATAAAGCACCTCCACCTCGTCAGGTGTAAAGTTGTAAAACCCAGCCAGGATTGTCATCTTGTTTTTTACACCACTTGGGACGGAGAAGGAGTAGCCAAAGTTTGTGTATGAGGCAGAGTTCCCATTTGCATTTCTAAAAATGAAGATGTCATGCCCTGCACCAAATGTTGGACCATAGCTTGAGCGTTTGTAAATTGCATTTGATGGGTTCGTCACCGTGCTCTTAAATGGAGCCACACCTTCTTTGTTGCGCAGTGAAAATATGAACGCATTGGAAGTGGAAGCATAACTACCATACAAACCAATCGGATCTGAAGAGAACAGAAGAAAAGTAAAAACAATGATAACATATTAAACGGTTTTACGTACAACTCGACCAAGATTTTTAACAGAAAGAAAGAAACGTAAGAAACGTTTTGCTAAAAGACTAGACCAAGATTTTTGCCAGCAACATGGAAGAAATTTGTGCTCTCTACGTCAACCTCACTTGTTCCTCACTTTCTCAACACATGTTATTCAGTTGAAATTAAAGGAGTAATAACACGAGAAGGACTTCGGAAGTGGAAAACCCACGAGACACTAAATCAACGGAAAGTAAAAATAATGGTCTTCAATTAAATGGCTATACTAGTACCCTGATGAAGCTCTTATTCAACAATTATTCCATAACACCACGTTGGACACGAAGTGAACAAACGTGACGATAATTCCATATATCCTCGTATATCAGTATGCAACATGAGCTAATGGAGTCATTTTTCTATTAAATTATTCTTGAGTTATAAATCGAAGAGATTATACGAACGTCGACTGCAAACCGCAGCCCGCAGCCCGCAGCCCGCAGACCGCAGACCGCAGACCTCAGACCTCAGACCTTAGACCGCAGACCGTAGACGTCAGACGGCAGATCTGGACTAAAACGGATCAAACTCTGTCATTCCAAAGAACAAACAACGGATCCCTTATTTCTTTTCACTCCTCCCCAAAATTCTCTTAAGGACTACCCCTCTGTATTTAATCCTCTCTTATTAAACTGTAAAGGACACATATACCACGATACGTACCTAGAGTCCCGTCGACCGTATCATAATATAATGGTAAAACGCTTTAATTTATGAAAAGATCAGTTAAATTACGTAGTCGTAGCCAACGTTGTGGGAACATTTGTGTCTCTACTACTGAGGTTTAAGGCTCAGTTTTAAACAAACGAAATAGAATACAGGCTATGTCATTTACCCCAAGGCATATCAGTGTATCCTCCAAACACGTACTGTTGACTTTTGATGATGGTAACCGTGTCACGTTTACCATTACACCTGCTGTGAAAGGTACTGCCAGTCCAGCCGTGAGTGGAGGCGCGATAACACAGCACCCACTGAGGGTTCATTCCAACAGCAGGCGCCAGGAACTGATTGAGGTGACTTTGATGAAATGAATTACCAGCTATTATAGCTGAGCTCTTCCACAAATCTGAAAATGGAACGACTTGCTTTCAAAAAAATCTTGTACAGTGAACAAGATGACTGTAATTTACATCTTAATCTTTGCCAGCAAGAGGTTAATACTGGAATTAATTTACATTGACTGCTTGCGATGAAAGCTGTCGAAAGATGGTCTAACATAAAGAAAATTAAATCAAATTAACCAAATATTTTATTGAGGTTCAGGCTTCGGGGTTTTGGTTTATTAATAGGGCTTTGCTGACATGGGTTTCTTAATAATTTACTGCAAATGTAACCATCTAGGTTGGCAACACGATGAGTGAACTACCTCGAAAAGGGATCGTGACCTTAATTATCCACTACTAAAATTAATTCAGAAGGTATGGCTATACCTAAAATCAATCATTCAGTTTGATTCATTGCCGGTTCAATGTTTTCCTGAGTACTGAACGTAGTGCTGTCCCAAATAATTCCGCCAGACCACTCTCAAAGGTTTTCTTTTAGTTTAACGACTCTTTTGAGAGAATTAACTTAAATCGAAAACGACTTTTTTTCCTTTTTCTCAATTTTTTTTTCTTTCGTTTTTTTTTTTTTTGTTGTTGTTGTTCTTTTTGAAAAAGTGAGCTGTGATTACAGGCTGAGTCCGTTCACAGTCACAATTAGCTGCTTTTTGTTTGTTTGCTTTTTGCAGTCTGTGATCGTAAGGATATTTTAAACACTTTCAGTCCTGCTGTATTAAATTTCTTATTACCTAGGCCTCGTCGAGACCGAGCTAGTAGAATATCGGCCTTTGGTCTAGTTTTGGGCGGACTGAGCCCAGTGATCAAGACTTGGGGGTGACATTCTGCCAGCACTGCGGCCTAGCTCTTGGTTAACAAGATATATATACTCTAAGTGTCTTAAAAAAGGAAGAGGAATATCGAGGAAACAAGTTGCGCTGAGAATGTCTACATTATGTTAAAAGAAAAGAAGACCTTGAAAACAAAATCCCAGCAGACGACTCCCTTTGAGAATTGCATGAAGTTATGTTACTGTTTCATGGACATTGTTGTATAAGATACTCATTCATCCATGATTGACTCTTACCTTGCTTAACGTAACGTAAAGTTGTCAGTGCAGTAACAAATCCCAGCTTGTTGGTCGCCTTACATTGATACGGACCAACGTCTTGAGGACTAAAGTTGGAGATATTCAATGTACCATTGGTAACAGTGGTTCGTCCTTGCGGTAACGGTACAAGTCCTCGCGACCAAACAATTTTTGGTGGCGGAAAACCGAGCGCTCGGCAGGAAATCGAAGCTACTGAATTCTCAGCAACCTTTGTCAGTCTATCAGGTATCTTAGTAAACTCTGGAGGAACTTAGTAAATGAAAAAAGAAGAAACTAAGTTATCTAACTATCATGGCCATACGATTCATTCTAATCCAGTGCCAGATATATTATGTTAGGATTGGTTATAACGGACTACACTGGTCTAATACAATGACATCAGTAATAAAGTACTTTAAAATATGTAGCACATTATAAATTTTCAAGGCACGTTATAAAAACACATTGAACAAATATCACTGCACGGGTATGTTGACCAAGACTTCGTCGAACAGAAAAGAAAAATAAAATGAGGAACGAGGGTATCTTCTTTTCAATTGACCGACATGCTTTCTAGTTAGCAAGTTAGCATTTCCAAATGAGTTTCATGGACTTTTGAATTCATTTTGACGGGGCTCAAGTCTATTTCCTAAAGTTTGTAATCACCTTTTATAATTATTAGGGAGCTGGACTGTTTAGTTTAAAATTAACCCTCGAACATACAAGAAGAAGGGAGAGGGAAGGGTGATCGAGGATGCCATCTCAACAAAAAGTTTTTTCAAAGTCTTGTACCGAAGACGAAACTTTCAGTAGCTCTTCATTCATCCTTCGCGGAAATTTTGATATGTCAAGAGTGTCTCCATGATTTTTGACGTTGCCACGGCAACTACAAAGTTCCATGCAGGTCTGGCAAAAATTCTCCGTTTTTTTACATAATTCTACAATTTTTCCAGTTCTCTTTATCAAATAGCAGAAAGCCTTTTTTTTTTTTTCTATATTTTATAATCATTTTGGCTTGATTTTGTAATAATGTCCGCTATTTTTGACGTTTCAAGAAAATAGTAAAATCCAAGATGGCGGATCTAAGATGCCCGAACAGATGACGTCATAACAAACATCTTGAAGAGCAAGTACAGACTTACCTACTCAATAAATGTATTATATTGTTCCTCAACAGAACGAAAACCAAGGGAGGGGTTCCGTCTAACCCCTCCTCCCTCCCTATACCACTCTGGGGGATTGACTTTCCTTGTCCGTCCCAGGGTTAAATTCTCTTTCAAGAAACCTACCTTCCACGAAAAGTTTCACCACCTTTTTAGCTTGTCCCAAGACATTTGTAGCTGTGCAAACGTAACTCCCCGAGTCATTGTAGCCAGCACTCTTGATCTGTAGCTTATTGCCTTGACCGTCCGTATTCACTAGTCCTGTTCCACTTGTTTTACTCCAGGATACGCTAGGCTTTGGATTACCATCAGCTGAGCAGTAAAACGTGGCAGTCTGGTTCTGAGTTACAGTCAGTGAGGTAGGCGATACAATCACTTCTGGAGCAGATATCGAATCCCCTGGGTCACCTTTAGGCCCCGGATGTCCAGTTGCTCCTGTGTTGTATTGAAAAGAGAAAAGAAAAGAAACAATATTTGAATTCGATAGTAGCTGCAGGGGGGCAACCCTCTTACCTGAGAGATCTTTTGTGTGTAAAAAATGCCCTCGTACACTTAACTTTCCTACTTGAATGTAATTGCCAAATTGCATTCAAATGTCGCCATACAATTATTCAGCCACCGCACACTATTGGGTGATAGTATATAAAAGCCCAGCCAATCCAAGTGCAACATTTGCATTAGCATAAGAGGAGAATTCTGCTACCATAAGTTGGTGATGGTACGCAAAGTCTAACATCAAAAAGCAAAACATTCTATCAAAATTTGACAATTGAACGCTTAAAAACTAAAATAAATCTCCGTTACGGCAGAGCACGTGACTAGATCTTGAATACCTTTTTGGCCCTTGATCCCAGTAC